TGCCCTCCCGCCTTCCCAGCCGGGGGGGGGGCAGAGAGGGTTGGTGCACCTGACCCACTGCATGCTTTAACAGTGGTTTCACTTGTTGAGATGTCAGTACGGCCCCGCACGGCGCCGGGAGGAGCTTCAATGGAGAAAAGGGTTCTTTAACTCTGGTTCAACCTTTGGATCCCGTCTGCTTGTTTTGCACAAAGGGGCGGGACCTGAGCGCCACAACAATTCAGAGCAGATATACAGTTTTACAGGATTCAAGCTGAATATTAATTAAGGTTTTATGAGATTTAAATTGAAAATTTGCAGATAAAAAACTAAGCTTTTAACAAGAAAGGAGTGGATCTGATCTTTGTCAAGTTGAACGAGTAATAAAGTTTACCCTCTGAGTTGAACCTTCTAGTTTACTAATTGAATATTAATGTTTTAGGTCACTTTGTTACAATGATTGCTTTTTGGCTGCACAATCCTAACGCGCTGTGAGAACACTAATAAAAAGCCGCTGACGTGCGCATTAATCGCATGAAACACATAAGTGCCTCTTGTGCGTGAAGCTTTTACGTGCAAACAGCACTTAAAGACGGCCCACAGTGATCCGGCTGATCTCTCGGGGCCCTCGGCCCGCCCGTCTCAAGCAGGTGGGATCGAAGGGAGGCGTACCTCCAGGTTGCTGACCCCCCCGCTGGTGAAGTTCAGCATGTAGAGCGTGGCGCGGCCGCCCACGTACAGCCTGTCGCTGCCCTCCGGGTGGTACATGCTGACGTAGTTCTCCGGTCTGCTGAAGTGGAACCTGGAGGCCTCTGTGGATCACAACAGCGTTTGTTAGAGAGACGAGCCGGGCGCTTTGTGTTGGGTGCGTTGTCGTTTTTTAATCCTTAAATTGTATGTTTCGGGTTTGTGCCAGAAACTGCGTCCTGTGGGGATGGAGAGGAAGTAATGTCGGCATAACGCTAACCCTGATTATACTGTTGTCGTCAATAATTAAGAAGGAGAAATGTTTCAAATCGGTTGAAATAATATAATTTACAGCTAAAGGAAAACAACAAAAAGCAAGGTTTTGTATTAAAAACATGAAGCATGAAGTAGAGGTCACAACAATAACAACATGTCAGCAGCAACATCCATTTTCAGGACGTTATTTGCAGCAAGGTTGCAGAGTTCCTCACGCAGGTCAAATCTCCGTGTGGGAGTCCTGATGGCACAGAGCCAGACCTCGGCTTATTAATCCACGTGTAACACGCCGAGAACACGCGTCCAGCTCGACCAGCACGCCGACCGCTTTGAACACGGGGCCTTACGGCGACACGGAGCATAAATATCAGGTGGACAAATAGCATCACAGAGGCTCCAGCCAGACTTACCTTTGGAAAATAGATGAGTTCCACTGTGGTTACATGAAGAATGTGTACCAACACTCCTTGTAGATAAACAAGAGTGTATGAAACCTCCTTTCATCTCTCCTCCGGAACCATATATCTACATTCATTTTGGACCAGAGACACTTCAGTGAAATCTGGTTTGAAGAGCTTAAAAAGCTCTAGCGGCAAAGCCGCCGGCCACCTGTTAGCGCCTGTGACAACATGAAGAAAGTCACACGTGGGAAGATGTGAGCAGCAGAGAACGAGCTGCCGCTTTTAACTTCAACAGAACAACATCACGACTTCAACATGTAATTCACGACTAATGACGCTTTTTGTGCAACAGGTGAGTGTTGCCTCACAGCTGTTGGTCACATTGGTGCTGGTTTTCTTCTCCTCATCCAGCCTGGGAGGAGGTGGCGGGGATCACTGCTTCGGGGTTGCTAGCCAACCGACAACGTTCCCATGGAAACGTGGGCCCCCTCCGGATGGCGGGAATCTGGTTGTAACGAATGCAACGGAAGGAGCTTAACTGAGAACGTGGATTTCTCTCTGTGACAATCTGCGTATCACAAATAAACTGTTATTTAACCCGTGTGCCGTTTGTGGCGTTTGGCTGCCTGCAGTCATTGCGACGTCACGTGCCTGAGATGAAGGAACTCACATTTCACATTCAAGATTTCTCCCAATCTTAAGTTTTATTTTATAATATTTGCCATAATAAATAAAGACCACTGACCCCAACCAGATAGTTATAGTTACAGAATCTCAAGTTGATGACTAATATTTTCATTTCACCACCTTTTAACGTTCCAGCTTACATTTCAAGTTAGCAGACCGTTGCCTTCAGAGCAGAACAACCTATTAAAGACGCTCTGTGGAGACGCTGATGAATATTAACTCCAGGGAGCCATGTTTTGGGCTTAAGTGGGTCCCCATTTAATTTGTTCATGTCCACACGCCCTCACTCATAACTCTTTTATTAAGTCCTATGCACTTGTGCATGTGAAAAATGGAAACTGTATTTCTCTTTAACAAGCGTAACGCGGCACTTTGTCCCTTGACATCAGAAGGAGACGCTAGAGGGGGGAGGCATTGGAAGCATGGTGGAAATGACCCCTACTGGATGTGGTTTAAATTCCTAAAGTCTCCCCCTCAGGCCCTATTTGTCAGCATGTTCCTTTTTTCCTTGGAGACTTAATCATTGCTGTTGAATCTTCGGTCCGCTCCTCAGGAGACCAGACGAACGTCCTTGTACCCGTGTTTTTCAGAAAAGGGCTTCATTAAACTTAAACTTGTGCAGTTTTCCTCCCCGTTGGAATCCAATTAGTGAGTCCGTTTTATGGGGAGAAAAACGCTAATTGCAGTAAGAAAGGTTATAATTAAAAAAGAGCGAAGCGCAGATGTTTGTTCTGGGAGCAGCTTCCACTTGGACCACGTGAATAAAGCATTCTAGACATTTAAAAGAAATACCAGACGCAAAGTGAAAGGGCTTCAGCTCTAAAAGCCTTTGAGGTTTTCCTGTGCTGCCATCCCACGATAGCTCCCGTTTCATTTACATTGAATGTGTTGCTGCAGAGTCGTTTTGTGTATGGACCTCCAGGTCCTCCATGAACTTTACACCGATGTCTTGGAGGTGTCCAGACCAAACAGGGAAAAGGTCGACACAAACAATGGTTGAACTTTGGCCGAATATTTCGATACTTCTGTGGGAGCCGAAGATGTCAAAGTATTCGTGAGATGAGCTGTTGTCTCTCTCTCAACCTCTTTGCGTCTCCACATCGCTCATAACAAGACTCTCTCCTTCTCGCCGCCTTATTCTTGTAGTTCCTAAGAAGACATGTTCATATACTTCATTTGGGGTTTTCTTATTATGTTCATTGAAACTGCAGTATTTTAATGACTGGCTCAAATATCAATATGTGAAGGTGAATGAGGTCCGTCTTAAGCCAGAGGATTATTGATCTTGGCTTTTTAGCGTCCTTTAGAGAGCAAACGTCTTTGTTAATTACACGTAATGGTCATTTGGAGGATGTTTATGTTGACGCTGGTGTGATATTGAATTTACACAGAGTTTAAAAAAATTCTAAGCGTGATCGGGGTATTTATTATAATAATAATAATAATAATGCATTTAATTTATTTAGCGCTTTTTCCTAATGCTCAAAGTCACCTTACAGAACATTTTAAAATATCCTAATAGCTAAACAACCAATCAAATGGAGAACAAACACAGAACACACAGTCATCCATTAAAAGCAGGTCAGTGATTTGTGTTGTGAATGTGCAGAGGTCCCTGCGGTCTCGGGTGAGGTTGGGGAGATCGTTCCAGAGGGAGGGGGCAGCTATGGAGAAGGCTCCATTTATGCCATTACTGCGCTCTCAGTTGTTTGTTTGAACGAGCTTAGAAATGTGGATGACGTCTTGTTCCCTCTGAGATTCAGGGCACTTATCGTAATAGCTCTGCAAAGGCGTCTGCCAGGAGAATGCGATGCATTCAGCCGTCACAGCTTTTCTCACTTTAACACACTTCTGACCCAAATGTTACGACCAGGCCGGAGACGTGGAGAAAGTTCCTTTAGCTTCCCACGTGTCCATGCGCGGACATGAGACCTCGGCGCTGTCCGCGGTGCTGAACCGGTGCCAACGGTCCGCTGCGCGTCTTGTGGCTCAAAATGTGCGCGTTTTGATGGATCTCATCTGTCAGGGTTCTATCCGCGTGCGTGCGTGCGTGCGTGCGTGTGCATGCGCCTTTCAGCCCCTCCGACGGGCATTCACAGCTCAGACGGCAAATTGCATTACAACGACATTGATTGATATGAATGGCACGTCCTCGT